AGATCTTGGTTCCGTGAAGTTGAGAATAGAGCTTGTTTCACATGGATGGCTTAACAATTCTTGGATTCCACATATCAATCGTGATTGGCGAAGGACAGGTTGTCGGCTATTCGTTCTCCCAAACAATTGATAGATTCATGGACCTTGATCACGATAAGTTAAGAATCCTTAGGGCCTACCCGTGGTTTAAGTTTCCATACTTGCCTATGCCTCCATGAACACGTAAACTGCGTTGTTTCGAGAGTGGTGTGGTATGGTAAGGCGGGGCCCTTAACCACGACTGTCACCACAACCCCTGCAGCGTCAGATCCTGCCGGTGCGGCCAGAGGGAGGCGGCGCATTGATCGGATCTGCTGACTGGGCCAAAAAAAAGTGGGGCCCTAAACCCCGACGGTCACCACAACCCATGCAGGGTCACATCCTGCCAGTGCGGCCAGGAGGAGGCAGCCCATAGACTGGGTCTGCCTACCGGGCCAAAAAAACAAGAAAAAAAAACAACCGTTCACAGCTTGTGGTAGGCCGGACCCGGGCCAGTGGTGGTTTAAACCCCCCGTCCACTCTTTTCCCCACACTTCTATTCTGACACGGCGGTTAATGTGCTGCAAAACAATCATGGGTCAGGCCTACAAGATGGAAAAGACAGGCGGCACTAGGAAAAAGACTCACCTTCGCGCCCGCGCTGGTTCGTTTTTCTTCGGCACGTGGCAGAAATCCTGATCAGAAAAAAAAGAGCCTCGGACAGAATGGTGGTTCAAGTTCCCTTTTTTTTTTTTTTTTTTTTTTTTTTTTTTTTTGGTGGTTCATTTTTCTGACACATCACCCTAAACGCGAGCCTCAGGGCAAAGGGGCAAACATGCCGTTACCTCTCTCCCCCCACCGAGAGAGGTAACATCACTTCACCGAAGAGGGGTAGAAAGCGATGCGTGCAGGGGTCCCCTATATAGCACATGATTTCTTTTTTTTTTTCCTTTTTTTTTTTTGACGGTGTGTTGAAGGGTCTGCACAAAAGATTGGGGCACACGTTTGAGGAACACTTCCACTGCCACCAGGGGCGTGCTCCCACTAGCAAAGAGGATCCCATCGAATCTGGCCTTGTTTGTGGAGAGGTGCAGTAAATGGAGATTGATTTGCGTTTCTGCATCTCTGCATAAATCACATCCAGATTCAGGAGCTTGATTCTATCCTCTTTGCTAGTGGGACCTCGGCCCAGGAGCAAGGTCCCATTAGCAAAGAGGATAAAATTGAGGTCCCATTATCAAAGAGAATGGTGTGGGTGACTGCCATCGGTCTAGTATCCCACCTCTACAACAACCTGCCCTCCCAAAAAAAAAAAAAAAAAAAAGCAGAAGAACGTTGAAGCACCTGAATCTGGAAGTCTTTGTGGAGAGGGGCAGAAAATCATAATTGATCTGCTTTTCTGCACCTTTGCCGAAAACACATCCAGATTCGGGCGCTCCATCCAATCCTCTCTGCTAGTGGGACCTCACCCAGTGCTTGTCTTCTGACCGTTGCCAGAAAAAGGAAAAAATAAAAACAAGTGTCCTTCCATAAAGGGTCCTCCAGAGGACGCTTGCCCTTTTTTTTCCTTTTTTGGGTATCTGTCAGAAAACAACAGATGTCCTCCCCAAGGACGCTTCCTTTTTTGGGGGGTACCAACTGCCATGGTGTCAGTCTGGGTGTCATAACTACAGGGCCGTGGTCCCACTAGCGAAGGGGATAGGATAGAAATCCTGAATCTGGCTATGTTTTATGCAGAGATACAGAAAAGCAGTTCTATCTCGATTTCCTGCTCCTGTCCTCAAACACGTCCAGATTCAGGCATTCAATCCGATTCTCTTTGCTAATGGGACCACGGCCCAGGGGTTGGCCATGGTGTCAGATGGGGAAAGGGAACGAAAAAAAAAGACAAAAAAAAAAAAGCCCAACGGATGCTTTTCTACCCAAATTGTCAATTCAAACTCACGCCGTGATGTCTTTGTCGCCGCCTGTTCTTTTTGCCTTCGCGAACTTAAAACCTGCCGCGTCCGCCGTTGTTTCTTTTTTTGTTTCTTTTTTAGGTAACAATCAGAAGACAGGGCACTGGGGAGAGAGGTCCCACTGGCAGAGAGGATTGGATTAAGCGCCTGAATCTGGATGTGTTTTCGGCAAAGGTGCAGAAAAGCAGATCGATGATCATAGACCGCTATTTTCTGCCCCTCTCCACAAACCTGTCCAGTAAAATTCAAATTGCAATGACAAGAGCAAATGGCCTAGCTCAGCTCTTCAGGCAAGCAAGTGGCTTTCCTGAGGTCTTGGGTTCAGTCCCCACTGAAAGACCAGCTGGGGCACGCTTGGTGCCAAAGAAGTGATATAGTTGGCTTGCTCCCCCTGGTCAGTATTGGGTGTCAGTGAGTGTGTGTGTGTGTGCATTGCGTGTGGTGCACTGGGGATAGCTGGCCTTGGACACTGCTGGTACTCGATGGGGGTGGGGGAAGTAGATGGGAGGCCCAGCTGCTGGCACGTAAGGCTCAGTCTTTGCATTAGCTGGCCTCCCCCACCAGCAACCCCACCCTGCTCCCTGACCACCGCTGATTAGGGTGGGGGCCAGCATGTATCCCCTTAATTGTGAGAGGTAGCAGGGGTCCCCTGTATCGTAGGCTTAGGAGTAGTGCTAGATAGGTGGTCCAAAGATGAATTTGAGAGAAGAATATAGCCTTTTTTTTTATAAATAAATTAGAAGGATACACAGAAGATCACTGTGGCCATCTCGTGTGTGTGTGTGTGTGTGTGTGTGTGTGTGCGTGTGTGTGTGTGAGAGAGAGAGAGAGAGAGAGAGAGAGAGAGAGAGAGAGAGAGAGAGAGAG